CCATTGCACCAACCCCCCACTAGTGATGACGTACCATTACAACGTATCGCTGGTTGGTGGCCATGTTTGCATGTTTGCTTGTCGTTAGTGGTCTCTCCACCGTGTGTCTTTTCTGTCTCTTGTTTCTTGGTATTTTCGGCCTGGTCCCATTTGTGTCTTCACTCTTTTTTATTTCGTTTTCTCTTTCTTTACTGTTTCCCTTTATTTTCTTCGCTTTTTCTCCTTTTTTCTCTTTTTCTGTGCCAGATGGCCTTGTCTCTGCTTGCGTTGTGAAGTACCAAGATTGAACCAAGGGGGTGTACCTCATGCTCTCCGGCCCGTGATGGTGACTCCTAGTCTCAGTTGGTACCTCGCATAGCGCGCAGAGTGAGTGGAGGACTTCAGAATATCTGTCGTTGATTTCTATTGACCTGCGGACCCCTCGGGGCCATTTGATTTGAGTGTACCTTTTCAGGGAAAGTTAGCCTGCGACCACGGGAATCCACCGCGTCGAGTGTTGGATCAGTACGGACATACGAAGGTACTGGCTAGGGAGAGATCGGAACGGTTTTTAATGTGAAGACAACAACAGCAACAGTATACATAGCCATGGTCTAGTGGATAGCCTCGCAGCCTGGTCAGGGCCAGGTCATGGGTTCAAGTCCCGGCAGAGAGTTTTTATCTCGCTGAATAAGTCCTGGTCTAGGATGAAAGCGACGCGCTGCAAAGCTCCTTTGTTAGTAAACCATAATCGACTTCGTAAGTCGCGAGGGAAGGGATTGCTGTACCCTTCTCGCGATAAAAATATCTCAGGAATGAACCGCAGGAGAAGGTCCAACCCCCCCCCCCCAGTCCAATGATGGGAGAGAAACAAAACAAAAACAACATAGCAGTGGGGTCCCTCTATAGTGCCGGGGTGTGTCCCGAGATGTTACCGGCACAATTCCGGGCATCGACACCATTCAGAGTACAAAACGACTCGGTATCAGTGTGTGCGAGCCGGAAACACTGGCATCATACGTGGTACCAGCGCTATAGAGGGCCTCCCACTGTACCACACACAGAGCAGGCTCAAACGTATTGTAGCGCTCACAGATGCTCAGCTTTGGTCGGGTTGTTTGGGTTGGGGTTAGGGATAGGACTATGGCTAGGGTTAGGCTATGAACGGTACACAAAAACTCTACAGCTGCCCGAATCAACCAAGATTAGGGAAATTAGTCCATCTGTCCCTTTCTCTTATCACCTGCTGATTTCTATTGGAGCAACCGCCGCGAACGACAGGATACGATCAAGGGATGGAAGACAACCTCGTTCTGGTGCTGACTCTACATCATACTTAATCCAATACATGAAGCAACCTTCCCGCCGTTGAGATGCTGAATGTCGAGGGTCGTACGCACACATTTGCATACATACGTAGTAGCTGCCTATGCATACAATCTCAGCGAATTTGACCAAATTAGACCGACACCCAGTCAGTGTCCTTTGCTGCTTGTGCTACCGTAAACACCTGAACGTCAGCAGTAGCTATCTATTGGCATCAGCTACTTCTTCAGAGGACTTTACCCGCAGTTCAGGAGATTGGGGGCAGTGGTGGCGAGCACATGCAGTACAAGACACTGGGTGTGGGTCTGATGAGGTCTATTTCGTGGAGATTGTGGGCCGCTACTGTACGACCTTCGATATCACCACGAAAGCAGCAAATTTTGAGAGCGCCATCGCACACACCGTTGATATAGTGCGTCCTCTCTCTAGTGATCGGTAGATTGAACAAGGTTTTATGTTTTATGCACCGACCGTTTTTTGAGCGCCTGCCATTCTGGCTCTTTTGACATTAATTTAGGCTGGGGCGAATACTAATAATCTTTATTTCGAAGGAGGTGTGTGGAGATAGACTGCATGACACGTAGGTTTGTAACAGCTGTTCGTGAGTCTGCGAACATTGCTGTTGGATACATGTGAAGGATGGTCGTCTACCTCCCGTGAAGTTAATACATCACCAAAACAGTCTCACCCGATAAATAAGTGGCGTAGGCCGCAAACACTCTAGAGTTTTGCCCCTCGAGGGAAGCCACATCGGGATGAGCTCTGCTGGAGACGAAGAGCGCGCTGCTGCGAGCGGAGAACAGATCCGCCCGCCAGTGCAAG